GGTGACTGCATACATGCTGGTGACTGCATACATGCTGGTGACTGCATACATGCTGGTGACTGCATACATGCTGGTGACTGCATACATGCTGGTGACTGCATACATGCTGGTGACTGTATACATGCTGGTGACTGTATACATGCTGGTGACTGCATACATGCTGGTGACTGCATACATGCTGGTGACTGCATACATGCTGGTAACTGCATACATGCTGGTGACTGCATACATGCTGGTAACTGCATACATGCTGGTGACTGTATAGAGCATAGCGGGATAGACATCTCGGCGCTTGGCGTGCGTGAAACCATCTAGGAGTATTTGTCGTCAACAACGTCCGAGGCACATATCTATATATAGATATATGTATTTATATTATGAAGCTTTGAAACTGTTCGAACGAGGGTAATGAAAGTGTTGTGTTGTGTTGTCTGTCAAATGGTAACGAAGGTGCGACTCGGTGAAAAATCCGTTGGGGGCTTTTGAATCTCTCCTCTATTTTCCTCCCTTTCTTTGTCTCTCTTTCTACCCCCCTCTCTCTCTCTATATATATATATATATATATATATAAGATATAGAGAGATAACGACAGACGACTATCGGATTGTTAATTATCAACCCAGGCGTCTGCTGACCAGCTAAGCTCGCTGGCTCGGATCCGTCACAGTGGGTGAGAGCGATGCCTACTTCGCTGGCATCCAACTGCCCTGGCTCATATGATATAACCTAAGAATAACACACAAAAATAACGGACATGGTCAAATTAACATATAGTCCATCTGGTCTAACTATATTCGTGACTTTCATATAATCCACTTGTTACACACTAGATCAAGACATATCATATCTCTCCTGAACCACATCGAAAATTCGAGCATATGAATACAGGCCCGTAGCCAGCTTTCTATTGGGGGGGTTCGTTTTTCAATGTTGGCAATTTGCTAATGCTTCGTTCGAACCCCCCGAACCCCCCCTGGCTACGAGCATATGAATACATTAACAGTCATTGTCCTGACTAACACATGAAAAACGATATCATTAAAGGTACTAAAACATTACTCTTGACCGATCTGGCAATTCCCAATGGATCTATGCACTTAACTCTGCAGCTACAATTCCTAACAGGTGACTTGAAGCCTCTCACCTTGTGGATGTTTAACGATTGGAATTTCGAGCCAGCAGAAAGCTTTCTTCTTCTAACAATCTAATCCAACATGGCTAGGCCTAGTGCTACCATCTGTTCGCAACTACCCTCGTCTGGCTTTACCTGCCTGAGACACTCGAGGGCAGCTGGGCCTTAACGGCTATGGCCCGAGTGTACTTGGTGAAGACATCGGTCATCACCAACACGTTCTCCTTCACAGTTCGGTGAGCCACCAGGGAGTGGGGAGGAGGGACGACGAGAGGGAGAGGGTCCGTTGATTGGCAAACACGTCGGCGGCGTGGCGGCGGCGCACGACAGCAATGTGTGTCAGCAACTATGATGTCGTTACACGGGCGCGCGCAATTTGGCGCATTTGCGGCGCGGCTACGGCCTCGGTGACGGACGGCAGAGATTGCGCGCACTGCCAGCGCTCATCATTGCACAGCGCACTAACGAGTCTCTCACACCGCGGGGCGATCGACCGACTGCATCCGGCGCCTATTCGTCCCGCTGTCGGCTGGCCGACCGTGTCGCACAGAGCGACAGCCGACCGAGCTGTGCATCGTCGCCGGCGCTTATGTGCGTATAACTATAAGCGTATCTTCACGTGTATTATATATTGATTATATACACGGTACTCCGGCATCTTCACGTTAGTCTTGTTGCGGTTCCCGCTGACGTCGTCGTCGACGTCGGCAGACCTGTTGCGTGCTGGTGAAAGAGAAAAAGAGCGAGAGAGCGTCGACGGGTTCATCTTGTTGTTGCTGAAGCCACGATTTGATCGCTGCCGACGGAGAGGCCGCGGGGCGGTGACGCATGGTGAAGCTATGTGTGCTTCGCCTCTGCTCTTCCACCGCGCGTTCAGATTGTCGCGGCCCGGCCGACGGCTTATAGCTTGACGGAGAACTGATGTACGACCCGGGTGGTGACCTGCAGGCTGGAAGAACTCACCACGCCGTGGATTGCTGATGCTGCTACTACTGCTGCTGCTGCTGCTGTTGCTGCTACTGCTGTTGTTGATCGTGCTGCTGCTGCTGCTGTTGCTGCTGTTGCTGCTGTTGCTGCTGCTGCTGCTGCTGTTGCTGCTGCTGCTGCTGTTGCTGCTGTTGCTGCTGCTGCTGCTGTTGTGGTTCGTGTTACTACTGCTGCTGCTGTTGTAGTTCGTGTTACTACTGCTGCTGCTGTTGCCGCTGCCGTTTTTCGTATCTGCTGCTGCTATTGCTGCTGCTGCTGCTGGTGGTGGTGCTGCTGCTGGTGGTGCTGGTTGTGGTGGTAGTGCTGCTGCTGCTGCTGCTGCTGGTGGTGGTGGTGGTGGTGCTGTTGTTGTTGTTGCTGGGCTCATGGATTCAATTCGTCTCGCAGTGACATGGGAAGCGTGACTCGGTGCCTGGCTGGCAAAGTGGTGGCGTGGCTCGGCGTTTCATTGCGATGGATTGACTTCGATGCATTTCACTGCAGCAGAAATGCCTCGGCAGCCGCCGCATCGCACGAGAGCGATTAACTGTGGCCTGCATCACAGCGTGAACTACACCAAGAACAGCTCTCGTTACCCTGTGCTATACCGCGTGAACTATAATTATATAAAGAACAACACTTGTTACTCCGTGCAATACCGCGTGAGCTATATATAAAGAACAACACTCGTTTCCCTGAAATACCGCCTAAACTAAATGACGTCGTGCACCTGAGGCTGCTACTGTTACTGAGAGTGTCAGCGTTTTGTTTTTGAAACAGTGTATTACACCTAATTAACATGAATGAATGTCGTACGTAAGCTGATGCTGAGTTGTTAGCGTGCGCAACACGCGGTTGTCACGTCAGCTTGTAGACTACTTCATTATTTAACGTCACACATTTGCAGAGAAGTGGGAAAAGGGTGAGAGAGAAAGAGAGAGTAAGAGATATAGAGAGGAACCAGAACCAGAACTAGAGGGATAATTATAACAGAGAAAGAAAGAGAGAACGCGAGGGAGAAAGAAAAGAGAACGCGATACAGAGAGAGAGAGAGAGAGAGAGAGACGGAAAGAGGAAGAAAAAGATAGAAATACGAGCGAGAAGAGAACGAAAGAGAAAGGGTGGGAGAAATATGTAAAGGATAGGATAATAGGATCGAGAGACGGGAAACGCAATTAAAGTAGGAACGTAGGCCAGAACGACCTGTGTCAACGACCATTGAGTGGACTACATGGCACAAACGTGTCAAACTATACGAGGCCAGTTTTAATGAAAAAGTCCGCAGCAGCAGCCGCTATATGAGCACAGTACCTACTCATATCTAACTCGCGATTCCTGCGTTTGGAATCTTCGTCGCCGACCGTGGCGACGACGTTGACGATGGCGTGTTTTCGCGTGAACGTTGTAGAAGACTTGGACGACGCGGCGCTGGCGCAGACGGTCGCCGACGTCGCTGCGACAGGTAGGAAGCTCGGTGCGCGTCGGCGCATCCGCGACGGAACGGGGGAGCTGGCGACAGTCTCATTCCTCGCCCCGTGTCATATAGTAAATATCTAACGGTCGGTGATAATCATACGCACGTGCGTGCGTGCGTGCGTGCGTGCGTGCGTGCGTGCGTGCGTGCGTGATCTCGAGTACGTGCGTGTTCACGTGCATGCGTGCGCCTGCTTGTTTGCCTATATGACCACGTCGTGTTTGCCTGTCTGTGCCCGACAGTTTTCTTAATCTCTACTACCTTTCTACGTTTTCTTAATCCCCTTGCCTCCCCGAGTTAGCAAGCGGCCCGTCGTAGCGGCTAAGCTCCCCACTGTGCATGCTTGCATGCGCACGTATTAACGCATGGCCACCAGCACGGAGCGTTCCTTCACTATTAACCGGGGGTTATTATAAGAGGGTTAAAGCGATGACATCGTCGGCAGTAACAAGCAGTAATCCCCCAAGTATAAGCTTTCGCTTCTGTCTCGTGATCGCTTTTCCCGCGCATGCGTTCGATTCTCGCCTCTAGCGGGTTGATTTATACCTATTCGCAGCACACGTGTACAACCTATGTTGGGAAGGTTACCAAAGAAACGTCCCAGACGTGTCTTTTATGGACAGGTGTCCGTTCTATAGAGGTAGTTTCACTGTGCAACTGCCACTCATGAGAGACGTCTCACATGTGTTCGTTCTATAGAGGTGGCCGTTCTGTAGAGGTGTTCGTTCTATAGAGGTGTCCGTTCTATAGAGGGAGTTTTACTGTGCAACTGCCACTCATGAGAGACGTCACATGTGTCCGTTCTATAGAGGTGTCCGTTCTGTAGAGGTGTCCGTTCTATAGAGGTGTCCGTTCTGTAGAGGTGTCCGTTCTATAGAGGTGTCCGTTCTGGCGGTTGCGGTTCAATTGGCGGTTCGACATTGAAGTCGTACAGTGTGACAATGTTCTGCGACAGCACACAGAGAGAGACAGAGAGCTCATTCGAAATTCGAGCATGACTAACGAACGAATGCCTTGCATTCTAATGAGTTAGACGGGGAGTGAATATTAAGACTTAATCCGATTTGGTCACAGAATCTCTGTTACGTTTCGTATTTCGAATCGCAAATGAGGCTGCTAACGGGAGAAGTGCCGCCGCGCAGCGTGCTGACGCTAATATGATTCGCGTTTGAAGTTTTTTCCCGCGCATGCTGTGTTAATTGTTATATATTGATTTCCCCTGGGAGAGGACGGCGTTCTCTATATTCATTCTGTGTCGGGCATCATTTACGCAAAATATTTTGCGTACGCAGCTTGATGAATCTACCCCCAGCTGCCTACTGTGCGGCGCATGGGGATGAGGGCGATAACGAAGAGGAGGAGCTGCTGGAGGAGGAGGAAGAGGAGGAGGAGGAGGAGGAGGAGGAGGAGGAGGAGGAGGAGGAGGAGGAAACCGATAAATGTGAGAAGCATGAGCAGTGGGAAGAAGCGTAGGAGGAGGATGAGGAAAAAAGACGAAGACGACGACGAAGAAGAAGAAGAAGACGAAGAAAAAGGGGAAAAAAGAGAAGAAGATGAAGACAAAGAAGAAGAAGAAAAAAAATATGAAGAAAAACACGAAGAAGAAGGAAAAAAAAGACGAAGAAGAAGAAGAAGAAGCTATAAGAAAAAGAAAAAAGAAAAAAGAAAAAGAAGACGGAGGCGGAAGAGGAGGGAGGGAGGGAGGTAGGGGAATGCTTTCGGACTAGTAACAACCCGCAATAGTTGCGCCGCTACAGTTTCTCGTCGCCGACGTGCACGTACGATAGTGAATTCGCGATGTTCCCGTGATCGTGACCGGTAGTTGACTCGCGGCAACATGTTCTGCTTGCATCTATGACAAATACGACATACGACATATATGCTCTCCTATGACTCTATTTGTCATAGGAAGAATCTTCCTATGACAAATATTGGCGAGTCAACTTCGTTCCGTTTTACAGCTGAAATTCACTGCTTGCGTTCATAATAGTGCTCCTAAACTCCTATGATGCGCACAACACATAGGATATTTGTCGTAGGATAGCGTATATGTGTATGTCGTATTTGTCATATATACTAGCAGAATAGGCTGCTCGCGAGCAGCATACCGCGCAGAAACTCGCGCTGCGCGCGTTTTAATATTCTTTAGAGAAAGTTTTTAAAAAAATGTGAAAAGCTGATCATCAACTCGTCAACATTTCCACTGAAAGGTCGATAGTTGTGCACCCGGCTTAAGAGAATGACTACATCCAGGCATGAGCATTGTGCTGTCACATGCTAACGTCATAAGCGTAGCGGGATTATAGAATTCGCAAAGCCCCACGCTCATTGACCCGCTGTCCGGCGATAAAATTCAGTGCTCGGCCTATAAGTAGCTTAGATAGTTAATATATATATATTAACTATAATAGGCTAATAATTACTGCTGTACATGTGAGTGTTTGTGTCGTTGTATAGTGCGCGTGATCACATTGGTTTCGATGTACGAGGATCGCACTGTGGGCAGATAGAGAGGGAGAGAGAGAGAGAGAGAGAGAGAGAGAGAGAGAGAGAGAGAGAGAGAGAGAGAGAGAGAGAGAGAGAGAGAGAGGAGAGAGAGAGAGAAAGAGGGAGAGACAAGGGGGGAGAGAGAGCGAGAGAGAAGAAGAAAGAAAGAGAGGGGAGGGCCGGCGCGCGCGCGAGAGAGAGAAAGAGAGTGGGAGAGTTAGCACCAAATTAGCACTAACGCCCAACTCGATTAGTACTACCTAAAGCTGACAGCACACTTCACCATTTTCGTTGCTCGTACAGGCAATTTTCGTGATCGCCACAAAAATGGCCAAGTGTGCGGGGGCCGGCAACGACCACTCACCACGGAAATTTAGTGGTGACCACGAGTTGCCGAAAATCAAACCGGTTTGATTTCTCACCACGAAAATGGCTCGTGGTGGCAACTTGTGGTGAAGTGTGCGTCAAGCCACCACGGCAATCGGCAACAAAATCACTCGCAGACCAATCAAAATTAGCGCTGTCGTCACATGATTTCAAAATGGGCCAAATACAAATATACAAATATACAAATATACAAATATACAAATATACAAACATACAAAAATACAAATATACAAATATAGGACCTATGCCTAAGTAACAGAAATGTTGATAAAATTTATATATTTTCTTTATTTGAAAACTGTATATGAATGGGTTAAAGCTACAACATCTGGCAACAAAAATTGCCGTCAACAGCACACGTCGCCACTCAGTGGTGACGTGTGCTGTGACGCGGCAAAGGCCACAAAAATTGCCGACCACGAAAATTGCCTGTACGAGCAACGAAAATGGTGAAGTGTGATGCATGCTTTAGGCAGTATTTGAGAATTAGAAGTCACCTGGGCGGTTATATGTGTTCTTTAATGTTAAATATAAAAAAATACCACAGCTTTTTTAATTAAACGTCTCCATTGTAGCCGGTGAAGACGCTCTGTGCGAGCGCGACCATTCCAAATGTCAGGGGGGAGGGTCGTATGCCTACTACTACTGACTAGCCCAGCCATCACCGAGTACTTTATACCTTCTTTATCAACTATTAGCTTCGTTCAGCAACGCCCCCCGAATGATGCCATGCCAATCTGCATGCTGTCTCTTTCTATCGATCGTCGCAGGAGAACGGCTAGTTTGCTTCAATCACTCGGGCAGTTAGAAGTCTGGTGGGCGGAGACCTGTTTTTTTCCCGAGCTCGCTACACATCTGCCAAACTCCACGACAGATGGCGCTCTCGCTCATGGGCTTAATCTACATCCTGAGTGAGCGAAGGGGCACTGCATGCAGTTTGCACATCTGCGCGCGTTCGCAGGGTACGCTGGGAGAGTTAGACATGAGCACGCAGCGCGAACGCGGTTTCGAAAAGTTGCGTTTCTGCGCGCGGCATGATGGTTAGTGCCACGCGAAGCGCGCGGGTTCTGCGTTTTACACGCGCGTGTGGCGGACGACCCTCAGTGCATTCCTGCAACTAGCAGGCGTAGAGGCCATAGTGACGGCACAAGCGTCAAAGTAGACGGCGCATATCTCATATGCAAAAGTCATGGCTTCATCCTATGATTAATTGTATGTTTTTTTCAATGGTCTTAAGTATGTTTTAGAGCATCCGCTTTCAGGAGCCGCGGCTATATATGCGCTCTAGAATTTGACCGGGATAATTGCGTCGATTACGCGATGCAGAAATCCCGGTATTTCAAATACCGATTTTCCTCATCTAAAAAACAACAACAGTGTTTTTCGAAGCGTCGTGCAGACAGACGCGACTACATCGATGCACAACGTCTGAACGGTTTCTATAACGGTAGATCTAGAGGTCAACAATGCGATCCCCACGCGGCAGCAGCATCAAGCACTCGTGGCCGTGTGCGGTTAGCATAGCATCAAGAGCGTATTTAAGTATTTATACGTAATATAATACTTAATACGCTCTTGAGCGCACGGCGGGAGTTCGTCTGCCGCTCACACCGTACTACCTACACGTACACGTACCTCCGTAATCCGCCCACTAACGCAGACGCGTCGGCTCGCGCGCGCCGTGTCTAAAGCCCGGCGCACACGTGAGTAATTTTACTCAAGTAAAATGATGCATGCGTCAAAATACTCACATGTGCGGCGCATTTTCGTTGAGTTTTCTGACGCATGCATCAAGAAACCCAATATCAAACATGTTTGATCATTTTTGACTCATGCATTAAAATCACGTAAATTTACTCAACACTGGTACTCACAGCGCATGCGTTTAAATCATTTTAAAGATGACTGCGCCCAGTATTGGCTGCGCACAGTCACGTGATCTACATTACCACTTATACGTTGAGTAATTTTACTCACGTGTGCGGCGGACGCTGAAAATATTTCGCGTGAGTATTTTGACGCATGCATCATTTTACACGAGTAAAATTACGCTTTAGACACGGCCTAATGCCTGACGACACGCATGCGCGCGCACGGCGGCGCTCGAAGAAAAT